TAATGCTGTTTTACAAGCTAAATTCCAAGTGTGGTCATCATCAGGCTGGACGGGCTCTGCAGCAGGACCACACTCACTGTGAAGGGGCTTCTGAGAGCAGCCCTCCTTCTTGCTGTTGCAGACGCAGGGCAGCCACTCAGATCCCCCATGTCAGAGGTTTATAGCAATTCTGCACACACCTTGAAGGGCAAAGAAGCAACAACTCAGAAGAAAACAGCCCAGTTTCCTCATTCTGGCACATCTAAACTTTGCCCTGAATTTTGACAAACTTAGCAAAAAATGATCAGAAATATGGGACCATCTGTGTAATTCTGGGCACTCAATGGAAAACAAAAATGTTTGACCCCCTGTTCAAAAAAGTATGGAGACCTTCAAGACAGTCCCCATAGCACATGAAACCAGGCACGGGCCCTGGGACTGGACCTGGACTCACATTCTGCATGGAGCCAAGTCCGGTGACCCTGTCCACACTGTTTCTGTTAATTTTCACTTGTATAAAATGGCTATTTAGTTTATTGAGAGAACCAGAAGAAACTCAATAACCCAAGGACCAAGAGAACACAAAACCCAAAAGACCCTGCAGGCCCTCAGGCAGCTGAAGTAGTTCCCAAGAGGAAGAACTGATGGAGCAGGGAAGAGAAACGTTAACTCCTTTGTCTCTGAGAAAACTCTCCTTACACCCACTTCAGACCCTTAACTTTCAGGGATGATAAACACTTCTCATTGAGAAATCCACGTCAGAACTCATTTTCTAAATGAATAAACTAGCTCTAATACATATACAGTGATTAACCACAGCCACCTCAAAATCTACTAATATTTACATGTAACTAATGCAACTTTACTATGTGCATTTAAAGCAGGGAATTGTAATTACACAGCTTTGTGTAAATGAACATTAATATGATAGTTGAATTCTAACAAAGATAGGTTTTATAATTCCTTTTACGTATTACTATTATTTTTGGAAAAACTTACAGATTATAGAAAATCATAAAAAGACTAAAATTTCCCTAATTCTCCACCACAGATAACCTGTAATAAAATTTTGTTGTAGGTGTTTTCTGTCCTTTTAAAAATATATGTGAACATTAATATGTTTTAGTACTTAAGAAATATTTGTATTACATCGTGGTATCCCACTGTGTAAGTTGTAAAGTACATAAACTACCCCCATATGTTACATATTTTTACTTTTTCACTACTATATATAATTATGGTGTATGTTTTAGAGCATAAATCTTGTGCTTATAAGTAACTGATAACTACTTCCTTAGGATAGATTCCTTGAAGTAGAATTATCACATTAAAGAGTAGAAACATTTTTAAGCCATTTGAGGCATATTGTCCAATCTGCCCTCCAGACACCACACAGACTATAACAATAGTATCAGGACACCTCTTTCCAAAGTTGAGGAGAAGATTTAATTCTGCTGTAAGTTATTCTTCTTACAAATACACATCAGGGTTTAATCAACTTTATATAAACCCATTCCACTGACCACAACTCTCATTGTTTTCCAATAACCTCCACTGGAACTAGTTCTCATTAAATCATTAGGTGAAAAAACACACAGTTTCTGAAACACTGACAGCCCGTGGTCTCTCACACTGCAGCCTGGAGGAACGATGTTTCTTTTTAAAGACACTATGATACCGTATTTCAAATGCATCATATTTTCTTCTTTTCAGAATTTTGCTTCTGGGCATTACGAGAAAGCTCTCCTAGCGCTCTGTGCTGGGGATGCCGAGGACTACTGAACAGAGGGAGGAGGACCCAGAGGACCGCACTCCCACAAAACGCAGACTGTGTGCCTGATCTGCACTGTTGGCAGCATTACAACAACACTATGGAATCATGTTATCTTATCTTATCTTTGGCTTATTCTAAGCCAAAGAAAACCTATTGATAAAAGTACATGAGATTGGATTTGCACATACTATCTAATCGTTAAACTGTGTGTAATGGGATAATAAAAGGAATTATTGCATTGAAAAATGTTTTCTTTAAATGGGAACCTTCAGTTCCCTATAACGACTGAATCTTCTTACGGCGGTCCCAGCGTGCTGTGGGAGACCAAGGGGAACACAGACACTTCAAGACTCAGCACAAATGCAATAAACCTAAGTGAACATCTAAAGCTCCTTTAAAGGAAAATAAAGACACAGAACAGAAAAGTACAGCCAGACATGTGCTCCTCAAGGTCAGGTGTGTAAGGGACTTAGATGTAAATCTAGGCGTGTGTGCACTTGTGGTGTGTGTGTGTGTCTGACAACCACTCTGGTAAAGGCAACTTAACCTCCAGTTACTTTCTTCTTTTTTTGCGTTAGTGCCTAATCAGCCGCTGAACCCAGCCGTGTCAGAAAAGCCCTTGCGCCTCGTTTTTCTCTTCATTCCTCAAGGTCAGAATCAAAGTCTCTGGAAGTAGTATGTCCTTGTGCCATGGGCAGAGGTTGGCCCCTCCTGTGTCCTGTTGGTAAGTTAGGAGCAGCCAAGAAGAAACACTGGCCGAGGTCAGATCTGAGGGAGAACCCAGTTTGATGACACCATTTAGCTAGGAGTAAGAGCTAGGACAGAGACAGGAGAGTCCACAGCAGAGGACTCCCAGGACAAGCAGGGAAACACAGACGAGACCACAGGACGCAGCAGTTAAGGAAGTCAAGGGACACGAGGACACACAGGCGAGCATTCCAGACAGACCAGTGATGCTGGTGGGTGCGCCCTACTTAACATGGAGCACTTTCAATGGCTTGTAGCCCAGTCCCTGCAGACCCGTTTCTACTGGTCTCAGGAAGGAAAACGTGCCCAGGACCGGGTCTGGCTCGGGGAAGGACGTGGGACACTGAGAAACATTTCAGAATAACCAGACTTCTGAAATTACCTTCGAGAGTTCAGCTCACTGCTACAGTGGATGATGTCACAGAATTTTAACTTGGGTTTCACTTCTGTCTAAAAAGATCATTAACATTTCAAGTTAAAAGAAGTCATCGTTTGAGACGTTTATCATGGCTATTATACATGCTAAAGTTCTTGGATGAAAAATATCAGAATTCCGAATGAGAACTTAGATAATCAACTAAAACCTTTCCGCCAGGGGACATCTTTCTGTAAGTTGTTCGATACATGGTAAAATCTATCCTTTAGCTAAGTAGTACATTTTATTTCCTTGGTGCAGCATGAAAATCAAATCAGAAACGAATCCAGACTTAGGTAAGGAGAGACTTTACTCGAAAAGACCTCTGCACTGAGTGGAGCTGTCTAGTGCAAGAGGGAAAACACACTGACTGCGAGATCTGCGGGGTCGCCAAGGTGAGCCAGGAAAAGATCCTTGTTTTATGAGGATTAGTACACAAGGCTGGAATCAATCCAGTGTGGTGAGGGTGGGGGTGTGAGGTGTGACTGCACAGTTAATCTCCTAGTCACAGTGGCCTGGGATTGGGCACCATCGGGGACAGGTGACCTGGAAAAGCCTCCAGGCAGCTTTCAGGAAGGGTCTAGGGTGGATTACAGTTCAGGGACCTGTGGGGCAGACAGGAGAAGGCTGATTAAAGTCTGGTCAAGCGAGCAGGATCTTGTCCAGCTGGTCAGCAGGGGAAATCAGTTCAGCTAGCCTTTTATGAGACAGAGAACGGGAACTTGGAGGGTGTGTTAAGGGTGGTAACAGGTAACAAGGGGTCATTTGCAAATCTTATCTTAGTCCTACAGGAAAGGGTGGTCTTCTGCAGTGACCCATGTTCTAGGACATGAAGGGTGGGGTTCTGGCCACCTCTCCTTCCTAGGTGCGTGGTATGCAGTTAAGTGGGACATTGTTGGGGCCTTCCTTCTTTCCGAAGTTTTCTGTTTTATGCTTCACTTAGTTGCTTAAAGGCCAACACAATGCTGTCACCTTCATTGTTGCATAATTCACTGAGTGAAATCCTGGCCAAGACCAAGGGTTTGAGTCATCACTGATGATACTTGTATTTAATGCAACACAGCTGGTTCTAAGAACTTCAAGTGCAGGAATGTTTACCTGAGGGGCTGAGTGACAAGTGCAAAATCTTGGATTAGATTAAATGTGTCTCCTGTATTTAACCTAGAGAAAAAAGACAGGTAACACTTGAAGGAATAAATGTGTTTGGACGTGCTCTCAATCTACAGTTAATAGACATGATTAATGACCACAGAACTGCTGGCCTTCCCAGAGACTAAATAAAACCAGAGACAGAGAGATTTCAGGACACACCCCCACCCTTTGTATCCAGCACCTAAGCTCCATGTAGCCCTAAATCAACTGAGCTAGTAAAGAGGCTCATCGTTTGGCTGAAAAAGTCTGATTTTTAGTCTCTTATATAATAGCACATTATTATTACTCAGGTTATTCTCCATATGTTAAAACTGTGCCAAACATGAGTGACGTCACTGAAAACAGCAGAGAAGGCAGGTCCAGGGGCCCATCCTTCCCCAGAAACATGAAAAAATCCAGTAAAAATTGTCAGAACTAACTTTGTCAGAACTGCGGGAAACAGTCCAAGGCTTAACTCAGGGGAACAGGTCAGAAAGGCCGGGCAGTGCTGGGACACCAGTACTCTCCGGCTTCCCATCCTCCAGCCAGACCCCTGTGAGGTGCCAGTGCAGCTATGAAGTTGTTCCTGTTACTTTTCAAACTAAGGTGACATAACTCATACTGTGTCTATTCTGTAAGTCTGCCAAGTGTCAACCAAGCAGCTTTTCAACAGGACACAAATAATTTACACCTTTCAGAACAAGCTTGGCCGGAGCCTCACTCTCGTGGTCCGTGGTCAGCACAGTACACAGGTGAAAATGGTCGAACGGAATCCCACCATCCCTCACTGAACATACGTGCTTCTCCAAATCATTGTACCTCTCCCTGTAGAGCACTGGGAAGGAGAGCAAGGGTTCCAGTGGATGGATGTATAGGGGCTGGGAGAACGTCAAAGGAAAAGGTAAAACTCCTACGAATGTGCCAAACCTACCAAGTCTCACTTTGTAAGACTGCTTCAGTAGTGCATAGTCTCTGTGCACACCGGTGCGGGGACCAGCGGGTCTCTGAGAGGCAGCATTCTTTGCCATCGTACTGTCTGCTTGTCTCCAGCACGTTTTACTGATTGTGGCCACCTCAGAATTAAGACTGCATATTATTTAGGCAGAACATGGAACTATTTCCTGCGACATCAAATATTTTAAACAGAGAAAATCACATGTTTCTTAAAGTTTGCACTGAAGGGAACAGGCCCTAGAGCTAGGCTGCCTCAGATCGAATCCCGGCCTCCTTACACGGCTGGGGCTCTTGGATGAATCATATAATCTCTCTGTGCCTCATTTTCCACATTTAAAAATGCAAATAATAATAATAGCATTAGAAACCCTATCTAAGAGCAGTAATGAAAATTGTCAATCATAAGTGCTGTTGGCCATTTAAAATAAATTAATGTACATGAAGCACTTAGAACAGTACCTGATAAAGAGGAGTCTTTCCTGTAACTGTGACTGTTACTGGGCAAAAATCCAGCCCAATTTAAAAATGATGTGGGGCTTCCAACTAATCAGGCTTTACTGTCTTTCTGAACATCTCCAACGTGGGGCAGTGTAAGAAGCGTCAAGGTCCACAGCAGAGTGTGGCATTCTACACTATTTTAATTTTATTTCTTAGTAGAGGACAAAGAAAAAGACACAAATCAATCAGTTCTGGCCAACATTTTTCGAGAAATGGGGGAAATTCCTA